AAGTCCAGTTAGAAACGATTTCCAAGCACTGGCTTAGCTCAGTGGTACTGGGCTGGGTTGACCCGCAGTGGACCAGTCTTCCAATTCATTGTGTCTCTGATGTCTTTTATTGATTTTTTTGTTTCACTCGATAGTGGTTACGGACACCAGCGGCGGCCGAGAATTACAGCGCATGTGATCCTTGTTGTGATCTTTATTAGCTTTCGCAGTAAAACCTATTTTTAACTAGTAGTAAATATTAGGTTTTCAAGAGACACTAAAGAGCAAAACAATTTTTTCGCGTAATAATAAAGTACAAATATCACAATAACGAAAGCATCTCTTACCGCGACATGACGCTTGGTAAGCGAAAAAAACGCGCGAAAATGCACCTCGAGACGCCACCGTAAAATTCTCGCACCAAACACCATGACGCAGTAAAGTCTGAAGAAGTCTACAGGGTCCTGCATAGCTTCTGCTCGATAAACATGAAGTATACAGTGCCATCTGTGGGTTATATAGACCTAGCATACGAAGTTTAAGAAATTTTGATCAAGCCAATGTGACGGCGATATGAAAAACGCATTCCGAAATTTGTTAGGCCACACGCGGATATTTGCGCGCGAAATTTGAAAATGATTCCTCAATGGCTTGATTATCTCCACTAATAATGAACCCATGACAGTGATACTTATCGAATTAGATTTACTAGATATCTCAGAATGCAGTTTATCAATCTAAACCTAGTCATCGTTTCTCTTCTATGTACATTTAACGTCCCAAAACCACAATGTGATTATGAGAGACGCCTCAGTGGAGAGCTCCTGAATACCCGACTGCACGGGCCACGAGCATTTTTGCCTGCATCGTAGCTCGCATTCGATCTGGCAACCTTCGGGTCACCAGTCCAACACCCACTGCTCTACCGCGGTGGTTGGAAAACAATTTTTCTCGCGATGGTAACTCTGAAGAAACACCAATATCACCACGCGTGGTAAGCGAGAAAACGCGCAAAAACAAGACGAAAGTGGTGACACCACCATGAAATCACTGCACCAATCGCTGTGATGACGCAGATATTTACGTCGTCTGTTAGGGTCCGTTGCTCATAATCTGTACAAGGGAAGTACAGTGTCAATTTTCATGAAAGGGAACACGAGAGCGCGTGGCCTGCGCGCTCCGGCGGCTGCTGACAGCGCATTCAAGCAGAAGCAAGAGCAACCACCGTCTGTTTTCGCGTCATCTCTGGGCGAGCAGAACAACCATTCGTTGCTGATATATAACGGGTAGATTGCGACCCCCTCCCCCTTCAAGGTGATTACCGGGTCTCGCGTAATCGCCTTGAAGGGGGAGAAGGTCACAATATTGCCGCTGATTGCATATCAGCAGCGAATGGTTGTTTTGCTCGCCGCGAGATGACGCGAAAAGAGACGGTGGTTGCTCTTGCTTCTGCTTGAATGCGCTGTCAGCAGCCGCCGGAGCGCGCAGGCCACGCGCTCTCGCGTTCCCTTTCATGAAAATTGACACTGTAAGTTGTCCTCTGAAGATAAGCCTTCGACTTAACGTAATTAAGTTCAATAAATTTCGTTGAGGCCTAATTTCACCAAAGTATAGGAAAAGTTCACTTCGAAATCTGTGACGTCAAGCGGGCAGATTCCGGGGCGAAATTTAAAAATGAAACTTTAACCTTGATTTTCTTTTGCGTTATTATGCGTAGTGAAATTAAGAAAACCAGTGATTTGAAAGCCCGACGTTTGAATGTAAACCGAGTGATTGTTTAACTTCAGTGTCCTTTAAGAAGCTTGTGAATGCACTGGCGCTCTTCGGTCATCATAAATGTAATGAAGATTGTGCGCGTACGTTACAAGTATATTGCGTTCAGTGTGGCTCGGAAGACACGTGGCAAAGAAAGCAGATACCGAGTTACGCCGGCCATTAGTACAGGAAGCTATCTTCGACGCTCGCACGCGCGTCCACGGATAAACGCTGCACTCAGCTGAAATATGAAAGTTCACAATTAGTCTCAGTTACGCAGAATGGAACGCCTTTTTTAATTATATGCTTGGGACTTCTGCCCACTCACTTCGTAGTAAAGTGCAATTCGTCACGAAGACCACGCACAGTGAATCCCGAAGTATAGGCTGGATCTAACAAACTGATCGCGTGACAAATGACACAGCAGCGCTGCTCGTCCTCTCCGACGCGCTGTGCTCGGAGACAGCATTGCAGCTGCTGTACCACTTGTCATGCGATCATAGAAGGCGGTGGTGAGCTTCGGGCTGGGCGGAGCCCAAGCGCCGTGACGTCGCTACAAGCGTCCCAATATGTCGACGGCGCCTACCCCGGTTTACAAACATTGATTGATTGATATGTGGGGTTTAACGTCCCAAAACCACTATATGATTATGAGAGACGCCGTAGTGGAGGGCTCCGGAAATTTAGACCACCTGGGGTTCTTTAACGTGCACCCAAATCTGAGCACACGGGCCTACAACATTTCCGCCTCCATCGGAAATGCAGCCGCCGCAGCCGGGATTCGAACCCGCGCCCTGCGGGTCAGCAGCCGAGTACCTTAGCCACTAGACCACCGCGGCGGGGCCCGGTTTACAAACATGGAATAGCTCTATATGCATAGTAAACTCACCGTACATTCTCACCCTAGGTGACCATATGAAGCAAGCCAAACAAAATATCAGAATCTACCTCTATCACTTCATTAAAGCCCACACCGTGCCGGCCACTGATGTAACCACAACGCTGCCAATTCCACATTGAAGAACGAGAAGTTTGAGAGTCTAAAAAAACGTGTTACAGCTATAGCGCAACAGATATACATGTAGTTAAAGAACACCTGTCGCCGCTATTTCATTTATAACAGTGAGTATCATCCCCTGCCTCCTGGACGTTCGTCATCATCACCCGATCACAATTGGTATTTTTCGGCCAGCGAAAGGATCAATCAAAGAGTCCGTAAGCATTCTTGCACAGCTGCTGAGAGGCTCGTCACGACGAGAGCACAGTGATAGTCACTTTGAAGTATGTAGAAATGACAACTGAAGAAATTTCCAAAGGTTCGGCTGATTACGATGTTGGTGATTCCACTGAAAAAAGATGGCGTTTCGACACTGAGGGCGCTGTTCAAAGAGACAGAGAGCTTGGGAATGCGGGAAAGTCAACTATATGCTTTGTATATAGTCCATGCCACCATACTTGTGGAGGGGGGAATGCGGAGGTATACGATCATAATTGTCTGCTATGAGACACAGCTGCAGTCTTAGCAGGTCTAGATTATCTCCAGAGGAGAAGACACTTTTCGAGCTCAAGTTGTGAGGTCGACATCATTGCTTTCCTTGGCTTGAACGCAGTTCTGAAAGTGTTGTAATTGAGATGAACTTCAGCAATGCTTTTCTAAACTATTTGGTGCTACAATCTATGAGAAACAAGCGTTACCTATACCCACCACGTGACAAATATCTTCGCTTTCTAAGCACGTACACACCCCACACACACTGACGTATACCTGCTTCATCTACAATTCATTCAAATAAAAAAACGCCGCCGACCAAAAACTAAGCCTAATATAGAGCGCAGGCGTGGATACTGTGAAGTGTTTCGTATTCTGTTGTAAGCAAGCATCTAATCTCCCTTAGAGAGAGGGAGATAACCAACATTTATGGGCGTCAACAATCACAAGAAGGACGCGGCATCCTAGAAAAAGATGCTACTTTTCGCAATGATTACAACCTAACATCCCATTCACTAGGATCAACTGGCAACCACCTATGTCTTTTGGGGGTTTGATGTCACCCAGTCTCTCTTTCTTTTCCCCATTTTTCCTACGTGCCACCACGTTTCCACACACCGGCATCCACTCAACGCAATGATCGCGATGCACGTGTGCTTGAAACCACTCACGCCCGCTGCTCTAGAGACTGGGCCACGGCGCCGTCTCTCGGGAGAATTAATCAAAGTCAGCGGCAGCTAAGCCATGGGGCGCTGAGAGGAAGCAAAAAAGAGGGCGACAACGTCTAGACGAAGTCGCACGTTGGCCACTTAGCAATTTGCGCTCACCAGTTAGGGTTTGCGAAACCAACAAGCGCAAACCTGTGGGTCTGCGCACCGCGCACGCACACTATATGCGTCCTTCATCCTCTGTAGCGTAAACCAAGAAAATAAGATCAATGCGCTTATTGAAGCAGCCAACGCTGCGCACACAGGACCGGCTACTGTTGCCGCGGACAAGCGTAAGCAACCCGAAACGGCGAGCCATCACGCACGCCAGTGTCTCGGTATTCCCGCCGCCGAGTAGGGAACAAGAAATGATCGAAAGGGCAGGCATGGAGGATAAGCTGGGAACAGCATAACGTTCGGGAATGAGGAAAGAAACACCAAATAGAACTTCCTATAGCAGAACGAGCCGGTGGTCCACGCGTTAGCCGCACGGCACTGACGCCAGCGCGCCCTGGCGATTGTGGCGAGGAACTGATGGGACCCTTTCTCGCTGCCTTTCCACTCATCGCTCTCGAAGAACGACTGCTTCGGCGAGAGCTTTCACCTCCGCCTGCCTTTCTGTTCATCCCGAATATGCAACCTCTCTCGACGGTTCACACTAGCGAGAGGCCGCTTCCCGCACCTCCCTTCGTCTTCCCGACACGCTTTCCCTTCGGTCGATCGTTCCACCTTATTTCCCTCAGCGACGTCCCTCTCTTCCCTTCGGGATCGAAAAAGATACCCTCCCCGTGTCCGAGCAGCGAATTGGAGCAAGCGATTTCTCTTTTCTCCCTCTCCTCAACGGGAGAGAAGGCAGTGACGGCGTTGGATCAATGAAGTCGTCCCGGTTCGTCCGAGAAAAAAGAAACGGAGGCTGAACGCGCCGTCGCGACCGACTCGATATACACCGCCACCGTCGCCGCCGCGAGCAGCCGGCTCGGAGGAGATTCGTGCTCGGGCGGGGGTCGGCTGCAGCGTTCCCCGGCCGACAGCGCACATTGCCCGGGCCACACGAGCACTCGCCAACCAACATGGAAGCCACCGTCGACCTGCTGACCGGTGCACCGAGCGGAGCCACAGCCGCCACGGCGAACGCCGGCGTGCTCGCCAACGCCACCTTGGCTCGGGACCCGCGCACCACAACATGGCCGCTCGCCGGCAACCCGCCGCTCATCGGCGCCCTCCTGCTGAGCTACGTGTACCTCGTCAAGGTTGGCGGGCCGCGCTTTATGCGCGACCGCAAGCCGTACAACCTGCGCCGCGTCATCCTCGTCTACAACGCGACCATGGTGCTTCTCAACGCGTACTTCGTGGTCAACTTCCTGTCACGCTCCTATCTGGGCGGCGGGTACAGCGTGCTCTGCCAGGGAATCCGCTTCGACGCCGACCCTCGCACCCTCGAACTGGTGTCCCTGTGCTGGTGGTACCTGCTGGTACGCATCGCCGACTTTCTGGACACTGTGTTCTTCGTGCTGCGTAAGAAAGACTCACACGTCTCCTTCCTCCACGTTGTTCACCACGTCCTGGTGGTCTTCAACGGCTGGTTTGGCCTCTCGTACGGGCCCGACGGCCAGGTGATGTTCTGCATCTGCCTGAACAGCTTCGTGCACGTCATCATGTACACCTACTACTTCCTATCGCTGCTGGGTCCGCACGTGCAGAAGCACCTCTGGTGGAAGCGGTACCTGACGCAGCTCCAGTTGGCACAGTTCATCGTCATCTTTGTGCACAGCACCATACCGCTGTTCAAGGACTGCGGCTACCCGCGGCCACACACGTTCATCGTGCTCTCCGAGTCTGTGCTCTTTTTTGGCATGTTCGTGCGCTTCTACCGCGGAGCCTACAAGAACAAGCAACCGGCAAAGGCGGCCTGAGAGCTAGGCGTACTTCATATGAAACTGGGTCCGAAAGTTTGTTTTATTATTATTATTATCATCATGGTATGGAACAGTATGCGCTGTCGTGTACGAGGCCAGTCAGAAAGCTCTGCGAGAATTCTCAGTGACCAATTGTCTACATCAAGGCGTTCTTCGAATAGGTAGGGTAAAGGAAATGAGCTTAGAGCTGTTTCGTGCGAGATGCCGTCTTCAATTTCTTGGGCAGAGTAGCAGAGAAAGGTTTGCCGGCCACTTTACCATGCATCGTTAGCCTGTTTGAATGCTTTTTGACTATAAATTGTTATTTTTCTGTCAACGTGTTAGCTTATTTAGTACGATTAAATTACCACATCGATCAAATTCACGGGTTTGACAAGCTTGTATAATGTAGGCGTGTTAAAGAATTGCCAGGTGTCTATGTAAACGAAGTTCCTTGAAATGACCTGGGACTTACATATTCTTGTACCAATTTTTGACACAATCACTATGGTGGTTATAACGCGTTCGTTAGCAAGCATCGGACACTTTATCATTGTCCTGGGTGATGCTGTTACCAAAATGTGGAGGGGACGTCAATAATGTTTGCTAATCAGTTAGGTTTTTTTAATACTGAACGTCAACGTTAGGTCCAGCTTTATTTTATAGGACAGTGACTAACTTCTCACTATCGCACCCTAACAGAGAAGGCTTGAGGCATTACTCAGTAACTTCGTAAGACACAGTTCAACTATATTTCCTCTTCAAGCAAAGCCTTAGCTCCACGCAAGCGTTATATTGTAATACGTTGTACCTTACATGATTACTCAGGTAGCTCCGGAATAGTATGGGGGGTAGTAACCGTAAAGGGTCATGACATGTTCTTTCAAGTACATGAAATAGTCATAATGTTCATGAGAACTCATGAAACATTTTGAGCCTCTGTTTTTAGGAGCATGGTGAATGTTCTCTATACATTATTCCGCAGACGAATGAACTTAGGTACGTTTAGGGGACCTACATTTCAATACCCTCACTCGGTATCGCATGCTCTTGCTTCCTGCGGACCACGTGACTACCGCGTATAGTTGACCGTTGTTGAAGCGAAGATAATGATCCTGAAACGTACGTGAGTGATTTGTCGAGAAAACTACACTATAAAGCAACGGCACTCAGCGTCACGCCTGGTGAAGATGACCTAGGCGATAAAAAACTGTCAACAGATCAGCGAACAGTGGGCCTCGAACAAATTCCATGAAGGATATTCGTTGATGAATCGTAAGTTCAGCGAGAGGGGCTTCTGCTGCACCATTTCAATATGGTTCTGTCAAGATCCCACCACTATACTCTGGGCCACATTGTCAATTATGCAAGGACTCCCAGTGGATCCTTATAGAGCGTTGCGAACATCAATTTAGTGGGAGATAAAAAGGTACAAGGACACAAAAGGATTGGACACGGAACAACTTATCCTCTGTTAGGCGTCGTAACAAAAGAGCCTCCATATTCTCGCGCCGAGAACGTTCCTGTATGCTCTCCCATCGTTTTTTCAGGCACTTGTTGCAAGTACGTGACCCGGTTAACATGATATATACCCCGCTCATTTACTGTAACAAAATGTGCACGAACTGTTGAGATTTCAGGGTAACACAGACGAGGCCGAAGGCCTTCCAATATGCGGGGTACTATCAGGGCAGAGTGCGAATGACTGAGCGTGGAGCGTCAAATGTCCATCGAATGTTAACGGGTTCTTCTAAGCCGTATCAGAAGACGTCGCTGGGATGTAAAGGATACCCGATGTGATGGTGCGCCTAAAGTAACAGTGGTAAGCTAGCAAGTTCGACACGTCCTTCTCCGTATAGGACCCTTGTGGAAGCATTTTGTATAAGCGTGTTGTGCCTCCTGTCAGACGCCGTTCCTGAAATACGGCGGCCCGCCAAAGCTTCTGTCCCTATTCGTCTAACATGATACGCCTGAGCGAGCACTGACTTCTGAAAGAAATGCGTGGCACTACTTCATGTCTTTCGAGCATACCAGGTGCGCCACCTCCCGGAGGGTCCTCGCGTCCGACACTGACCAAGCCAGAAAATGCCTTAGCGTATCACGCTACAGGGCATGCTTCTGTTTCTTTATTCTAGGTGTTTCTAGGTCTTAACGCCAACAAAAAAAATGTCGCTGCTTTGCTTCCATTCAGGAGCCGAGCTTTAGTCGTGATAAAAGAATTGCCATGCTGTGAGGCACACTTTGTGTGCGCTTGTGCGTGTGTGTCTGGTTGTTGGACTGATGCGCGACATAATACATATGTATAGCGAGTCATTGTATGTGCAGCTGTTTTGTGACCTATACGTGATGTTGGTCAAAATGAAAGAACACCGATTCTTCAGTGCGTCTGTTGTGGTCTTTCCGATAACAACAGTCCTGGGCACTGGCTCGGTTTGAACCCCGCCGCGGTGGTCTAGTGGCTAAGGTACTCGGCTGCTGACCCGCAGGGCGCGGGTTCGAATCCCGGCTGCGGCGGCTGCATTTCCGATGGAGGCGGAAATGTTGTAGGCCCGTGTGCTCAGATTTGGGTGCACGTTAAAGAACACCAGGTGGTCAAAATTTCCGGAGCCCTCCACTACGGCGTCTCTCATAATCATATCGTGGTTTTGGGACGTTAAACCCCACAAATCAATCAATCATCAATGGCTCGGTTTGAAAGTGCTCATCGACGTCTGCAGGTTCACCAACTTTGGCTTCTACTTGTACAGATTGCAAGGCAGCCAGTTTAATTATTTTCCTACTGCAAACGAAATGAAGGATAGTTAGTTTCTTGGTGTAATTTCTTAGTGTTATATAAATGTACAGCGTCACTATTACAACCATGATCCGACTGTTCCCCTTATGTAGTGTAATCCAATTAGAGTAGCAATGAAATTTAAGAAAAATGTTACTACAACTTTTACACATGCTTGAGCATGATGCTAAAACAATTCACGAAACCAAATGCTAACAATCAAGCTTCAATCTACTGAATTCATTGTATGAAACCATGGGGATGCTTTGCACGTAAACTTTAGTGAGCAACCACTGAGGAGCTCATTATTAAATCTAGTGAATTGGGTGGCTGGAAGCGGTAATTGCCCCCTGAATACATAACTTATGTGCCAAGGTAGTTTTTACGGACCACCCAGTGCTGAACTTTAAAAAAAAAACCTATAAGCTTAATTTTGAACTCCGTATATTTTATGTCAAGTCACCCTGATTACTTCAATACAGTAGGCCGTGGTAAACGAGGTCCTTCACCGATGTGCCATCGTTGAAATGTCCGAACTGCACTTCCTTTGTGTGTGTGTGTGGTGGGGGGGGGGGGGGGGGGGGGTGACGAGCCTATTTACTTTAATGTGCGAAGCATTTATTAGCGAACTTCGACGACTTGAGCGTATCTATCTATCTATCTATCTATCTATCTATCTATCTATCTATCTATCTATCTATCTATCTATCTATCTATCTATCTATCTATCTATCTAGCTATCTATCTATCTATCTATCTATCTATCTATCTATCTATCTATCTAGCCGCCTACGACTTTTAGCTCTCCTGGTCGTTTCGATAGTGGTATCAATACCAAACATGGTATGATATAATGTGACTGTATGAAGAACATATTTGACTAGTCATAACATGAAAATCATAACATGGATGTCATTATTTGTCATGACTTACATTTCATGGTCCTGCAGCTCTTGCGGTGGTTTTGTTCACATGGCATGTTGCAAAACTGGTATGGTAAGATAACTACCTGTCGAACACAAGCGGCATACCATAACACGAAAATCATGACATGCGTGTCATGTAACAACATGACAACATGGCACGCTCATGAGACGCTGGTGGCCGTTTCGTCAGCTTCACATGTACCAAAATCAGTATTACGTGCCGCGAACGGAGAGCATAAGTAAATGACACATCCAAACATGATAATCACCACATGCGTCTCATATAACAACATGACATATGCCACACTCATGATGCGCTCGCGACCATTTCGCTAGCGTCACATATACCGAATTTGGTATTACAGTACGTGAATGGATGACGAGGGGTATGATGCTGGTGCAAACATGATAAACATGAGATGTGTGTTATGAAACTACATGTCTACATGCTACACTCATGATGCACTCGCGGCCATTTCGCTAGCTTCACTTATACCAAACTCGGTATTACGCCACGTGAACGGACGACATAGGTAAATGACACATCCAAACATGATAATCACGACACGCGTGTCATGTAACAAGATGACTACATGCCACACTACTGATGTGCTCGCTGCCGTTTCGCTAGCTTTACATATGCCGAATTTGGTATTACGTGGCGCCAATGGATGACGAAGCTATGTGACTGGTGCAAACATGATAATCATGAGATGCGTCTCATGTGAGAACATGACTATATGCTACAGTTAAGGCACCAATACATTTCGACGTGACGCGGTGCGCGTGTTCGCTGGCGTTGATTTCGTTGCGTCACGCCGGCGTTGCCACGCCAGGTGCCGGTCCTGCTATATACTCGGAGGTGCGTGCCGCACTGCGTTGCTTTGACGCATGCTCGTTTCAGTGCGTCCGGCGTCCCTCAGTAACGAGAAGAGGGAGACGCAGTGTTGTCTGGGTAACGCATCGGCGCGAAATGCAGCAAGTCGCATTTCGCGCCGGTTGCCGTCGGGCCGCGCCGACGGACGCTGGTCGCGCCTGGCACCAGACTAAAGAGTGCTCGCGTTTCGTCCAACGTAGTGTCGCTGTGCTCAGCTGCGCGCGCGTCAACGCTACGTTGAAGTATATTGGGCCCTTCATGATGCGCTCGAAGCCGGTTGCTAGCTTCACATATACCAAATTTGGTGTTACGTGACGTCAGTGGATGATGAAATGCACGATTGGTGCAAACATGTTAATCGTGACACGCACGTCATGTAAGAAGATGACGACATACCACGCTCATAGCGTTCTCGCTACTGTTTCGCTAGCTCCACATATAATAAATTTGGTATCACGTGACGTGAATAGATGAAGAAGGTAAACGACAAATAAAAACATGGTAATCATGACATGGAAGATATTTACGGCATCATTTACCTCCACCTCGTGACGTTGTGCTGATTTTAAAGTGACATATAAACATTTCTCATTCATGCTTCGCATATCATCGATCGATTTCCACCGTACGTGGGATCTGCCAATCTTTTTAAACTTACACAACTGCGACCGTGTGTGTTTTCAAGCAGCGGATGCTCTATAATGGAGCCCATATGTTTAGCATTTTTTTTTTATTTTAGAAGACACCATTTGGGGCTACATATTTGGCGAGTTCATCAGAGACGTGTGATGAAACTTTTCATTGCACTGTACAACCACGTAATTGTCACTTAGGTAGGTAAATAATTAATTACACCGTTGGGCTAACCTACAGAGTGATTCATTCCTATCTCTAATAGAAGGCACAGTGGTACTAGTTTCAAGCACACCGATCCCGCCCGAGCCTCATGCATCAATACTACTAGACCCGAATTTCTTTGGCGCTACGTACAGGAAGCTTTGGGTGGAACCCAGTCGCGTTCTTCACCTCCCCTTCCCGACCCTTGGCCCCTTTTTAAAGCACCTCTATCAAATCTGGTATTCCTCATTTCATAACCGTGTGTTGGAGGATGGGCAACGCTTTTCATTAATGTAGAAGCGGTTGCGCGGCCCTGGTCCATCTGTACGTCAGTATACTGGAGAAGAGAAAAAGAAAAACATCAACTGATGCTGCCGTGACAGCGTTAAAAGACCAAGTGTATATAACATAAAACAAATAAGTTATCGCATCGATTCCCGAGAGCCACGAGTTAATGTCATCGTAGCAATGGAGTTGTGCAACTAACGTGCTCAAGAAATGTTGCAACTAACGTTGCAACACTTCTTCAACGTTAGTTTTCAATGTTAGTTAAAGGGGTTGTCCATTTCTCCCTGCTTCGAGATGAAATATGGTTAGTGTAGAGAACTAACGTTGCAACACTTCTTGAGCACGGTCAGGAAACGCCGCCGATAGGGTGTCGAGTCTTTCAAGAAAAGGCGAGCCAAATAATATAGCGCCGCACGCGGCCTGAAATTCGCAATAAATTCTAAAAGGCAGCTGAAATTTGTTTTTTCTTCTCTCGACAAGTGACGCTACAAGCTCAAAAGTTACTCCTCACATCCATTGTACCAGCCATTGGCTGATTTGAGCATGGCGTGCTCGGTCGTTACTGGGGCCCAAGCGGAGCCGCGACTTGTCCACGCGTGCACGCTCATTTGCCCTGAAAAGCAGCGTATTCAACGAAAAAACAAAAAAAAAGTCGCTCAAGGTCACGAAGCATGCATGAGGTATCTATTCCCGGGACATCCCTCCCTGCTTAGCTTCCAGCGCTTTCGTCGGGATGATTTCGTTGCGTCACGCCGGCGTTGCCACGCCAGGTGCCGGTCCTGCTATATACTCGGAGGTGCGTGCCGCACTGCGTTGCTTTGACGCATGCTCGTTTCAGTGCGTCCGGCGTCCCTCAGTAACGAGAAGAGGGAGACGCAGTGTGTTGTTGGGTAACGCATCGGCGCGAAATGCAGCAAGTCGCATTTCGCGCCGGTTGCCGTCGGGCCGCGCCGACGGACGCTGGTCGCGCCTGGCACCAGACTAAGAGTGCTCGCGTTTCGTCCAACGTAGTGTCGCTGTGCTCAGCGTGCGCGCGCGTCAACGCTACGTTGAAGTATATTGGGCCCTTCATGATGCGCTCGAAGCCGGTTGCTAGCTTCACATATACCAAATTTGGTGTTACGTGACGTCAGTGGATGATGAAATGCACGATTGGTGCAAACATGTTAATCGTGACACGCACGTCATGTAAGAAGATGACGACATACCACGCTCATAGCGTTCTCGCTACTGTTTCGCTAGCTCCACATATAATAAATTTGGTATCACGTGACGTGAATAGATGAAGAAGGTAAACGACAAATAAAAACATGGTAATCATGACATGGAAGATATTTACGGCATCATTTACCTCCACCTCGTGACGTTGTGCTGATTTTAAAGTGACATATAAACATTTCTCATTCATGCTTCGCATATCATCGATCGATTTCCACCGTACGTGGGATCTGCCATCTTTTTAAACTTACACAACTGCGACCGTGTGTGTTTTCAAGCAGCGGATGCTCTATAATGGAGCCCATATGTTTAGCATTTTTTTTTTATTTTAGAAGACACCATTTGGGGCTACATATTTGGCGAGTTCATCAGAGACGTGT